GGAGGGGAGATCAAAATTTTAAAAAATAGTGAGAGGCGGAAGCTTTTTAATAAATCATTTTTGTGTCTCGGAAACAGCTACCAGGGTAAAGTCTTTTGATAGGCCTATTTGACGGCGGTATGCATTAATTGTCGCTTGCCAAACCCGTAAAGTTAGTCGAATGCAAACGACAGAGCCCACAAGGCAAATCAGTTTTATATTTATCACATCACACAAGAATATACTCTAAATATATCTGATTAATTGTACATGATGTCGATTTTACTGCCGACTTAGTACTCCGACATATCGAAAACAGGTCCATGACGTTTCCCGTATTGGAACATGCTAACTTTCCCCGTGATTGCAGATAATGGAATGTCTGTGAATTTTTTAGACGAGTTGTAACTATCTTAACCTTTTATATGAATACATTTTGCTCTTGAAGGTGTCTGCAGCGGTTAGTTTGCTCAGGCATCGTTGCTCACAGTATTAGTTTCATACCGACATTAGGTCAATCGTCGTGTAGCATGCATTTAAAATATTTTGTGCGTTAATTTCGAACACTGGCTACTTTGCTTGGTCGAACTATATATTGTAGGTTTGGCATTTTGTTTGAGTCTGGGCCTCTTATAGACATTTTCCATACCCAATCGTAACAAAAGCTGAAAGTACCACTCGCACGCGCCCTTTTCACATTGATCAGACCGAAGTCTCAAGTAATCGGTTGGTGAAGTTTTTCTTTTACAGTTTGACTGTCCACGTTTTTTCTCAAACCTGGGTCTTTTGGAAATGCAAACATATGAATGCCATATCCTTTGCTAGATTTTTTTTGGTGCATCCCACGGCAATACACTGAGGCATAACGAAAATTTCCCAACTCCACGCAACACAACCTCCCCTAACTTCAATGAATTCAATATACATGTATATATATAGCTCAGCTGCTTCTCAAAAAATCAATCATGGATTGTATGTCGTCACAGTACCACGTGACCCAGATCTGTTGCATCATTTTTGCATATAGGTGGGATTTTCTAAAACGCTTTTTTATACTAATAGATTGTTTTTATGCTGTTTATAGGGTGGCGATCGATTCAAACTCTAGTGTACAGACCGAGTGGTGGATACATAATTCAAGCAAACGTATCGCAAACTATTTAGGTCTCCACGACCGGTATTGTCTAAATGGACACTTAATGGGATTTTCTCGTCAAATTAATATCTAAAGATTCTCGACACGCTCGAAAATCCCCCACAGTCATATTCATGTTTGTAAAGCTTCTTATATTTTCCAATTTAGACTTTAAAGACAATAAAACCCTTTAAATAAAAGTACCTCGGGTCGCTATTATCTTCCCATTCTCTCTTGGTAGCCATTGCCAGCTTGCAACGTCTGTATTAGGGACCATTCCCAGAGACTATCGTACTAACTTTGGATCGATCTATCTCCAAGAGGATTCTCACTAAATTGCTATCAACTTAAGCGGCTTAAATCTCACGCGTTCCAAAGCTGTTAGGGGGTAATTAACTACCGGAGGCCGAGCATGCACGAAAGTTAATTACTCCCTAGCTGATTCGGTAGGCGTGACAGAAATTTAAGCCGCTTAAGTTGATAGCAATTAAGCGTGAATCCCCATGGAGTTATTCCGATCCTGCTGGATCGATCTAGGCATGGGACCCCAGTCTTTTACACAGCACAGGGTCGCGATACAAAACAACCCTCCATTTTCCTGTACGACAAACAAGCCAATGTCGATGGCAATGTTGACTGGCCAGAAATTTTAAACTAAAGCAGGGGCGGATGGAGGACGTCTTCTGGGTCCTCCGGAAGACGGTCAGAATTTTTCAATTGACGGGAATATAATTTTTCTATCGGAAGACGGTCAAATCTTTTCATCATTTCTTTATCGATCTACTCTACTTTGTCTGTGACGGTCTTCCGTGACTTTCTTTCTAACTTCGGTGAAAATAGATGTCATGAGACTATGGTCGCCTTGAATGGCTTAGGACACAAGCAAACATGGCGATTCGTCGCCATTCAATAACTCGAAAGCATCGAAATTTGCGACTGAGTTTCAATGCTATTATTTGCGACGGGTATATTCCGTTGCAATTACCTTTATGCTTGCATAATTCGTCCTTTTATACTGTCGTTTATGTCACATGGCGACAAGTTTTGGTTGCTAGTCATAATAGCATATAACAACGCATGAAAGCTTATAAAAGTTTGATTCACTCGGTAGCTCTAATAGAATAAAAGTTGCGTTGAATTTTCAAGTGAAGAATCCGCCCCTGTAAAGTATTAGATAAAACATCGAATCCAAGTGCGAGAACGAGTAAAGCAATTATTTGTAAGTAGGAGAAAATGCGCTTTACCAGGAAATTTAATTTTCGCCGGAAAAAATTCCCATTGAGATGGTCTTAAACTAAACCTCTTATACGTGTCATAAGCACGCCTTTTGTTCTCCCACGTACCTTAAATCGTTGGACTCGGCATGCGGCTAATCAAATCCGGAATACCACCGACAGACGGATTAATCCCAATTATGTCTTATTTATACATGTACGTTTTATATCAGTGCCAATTTATCGAAAGTCGCTTTTTTAATTTCTCAGGCCCGTAGCCAGGGGGGCTCGGGGTATTCGAAAGAACCACCCTTTTTGCCGGTAAAAAGTCTACTCTGGGTAAAATTCGATCCAGGTACATAGGGATTTTGTGGTAAAAGGTCCACTTTTTCAGAAAAAGAACTCCCTTTGAAATTGCTGGCTACGGACCCGTTTCTGAAGTTTGTTTCGAAATATATGTTAAGACTACTCTTTGTAGATCGATGCAAACATAGTGCTGAAGTATGCCCCATTAATAAAGCAAGATGTCGGTTGCCTGTTACCGTCAGTGGCCGATGCCATCAAAACACTTTGGTCAGACGCAGGAGTTCAAGAAGCCTTCAAGCGCGCGTCGGAGTTCCATATCGGTGATTCAGCTCAATAGTAAGTGATGAAAAAAAGGTATCTATGTTCCTGATCGTAAAGGAGTGGTGTTGAGTTAGCTACTAAAGCCTTAAAGACGAGAACGATATTTCAGAGAGTTAATATATATTGTACTCAAGTTAATGTTGGAATAAATAAAGGCATCATACATAGTAACCTAAGTCACATAAGTTGGAAGTTTGGATCAGTATGCATTTTAACCCCTGCTAACTTCGTAGCTACTTCGACAACGTAGACCGCATTTCCTTACCCGGCTACATCCCGAATGAGCAAGATGTCCTAAGAGCCCGAGTGCGGACCACAGGAATCATACAAACTGTGTTCCCATTAAGGGGCTTTAACTTCAAGTGAGTATCTGATATTTAAAGTGCTGTATTAACTATGATTAATTTTTTTTTTTTGGGGGGGGGGCAAGATCGTCAAGTATTGGTACATGGATCACTTACAGTAAAATACGCATTTCTTATATTCACATACATTTTGCTGTTCGCTTTTTAGTTATTTTTTACTAGGTCTCTTTGGTAAAAAGAAACAAAGACGCCTGTATTCATTTCAGATTGTTTGATGTAGGGGGCCAAAGGTCAGAGCGGCGAAAATGGATACACGTCTTCGATAATGTGACGGCCATTTTGTTTACCTGTGCGTTAAGTGAATACGACCAAGTACTCGTAGAAGACAGTGCAGTGGTAAGGGAATATGCTCAGTTACCCAGGGGCGGATCCAGGATTATTTGAAGGGGGTCCGCGGGTGCCAAGCTGACCCCCCCCCCCCCACTTGACGTGGGGTTAGGGGCCCGATGAAGGGTCCCGAAATTTTTTGGTATTTTAGAGGGCGAACGGTACCATTTGGTGCGGTTTAGAACTAGGATTCAACTATTCAAAATTCTAATTTAAGAGGGGACCAGAAATCGAAGGGGGGTCAGGACCCCCCTGACCCCCCCTCTAAATCCGCCACTGGTTACCTACACTAAATATGACTTTTGATGGAGTGTGAGGTGTTAACGCATGGGTGGAAAAGTAAAAGCCTCAGTTCACGCGGCATTATATATATATATATCACCTATATACTGGTAGCCTACCTGGATCCGCTTTTGAAATACATTGATGTCTTTATAAAGCCTATATCATATATTTATAGCTTACTCTACGCATAGAAGTAAAACGTAGGGTATATCAGTGGGAAATTGCACACCTTATAACTTGAGATAATAGCATCTTATTTTCACAGGATGTGCAACCATTATGTGTTTGGTGAAAACGGTTTCACACCTTATTTATAGTTATCAAAACGTGAGGTATGGTACTAAGTAATTCACGCACATGACTGTCATTTTTTATTGAAAGATAATGGTTCCTATCCGGCCGTCATCCATTGCACAGTCAACTCTCTGAGTATGATCCAATTATTTTCATCTTATTTTCCAGAACCGTATGCATGAGAGCATGTGCCTTTTTAGCTCCATTTGCAATTATGCGCTTTTTCAAAAGACCCCCATGATTCTCCTACTCAACAAAAAAGATATTTTCGAAAAGAAGATCTTGACTTCACCACTCAGTACTTGCTTCAAAAACTACCAAGGTACGTGCTTGTGTTGTAGGGCATATTGTCGGGTTGAATGGCGCCCGTGAGTATAGGTGTACCAGTGAATCACTTCAACCCAAATATAAATAAAATCACCTTTCAATAACGCTCTCCAGGCGTTCTTTACCAGTATATATGGAAGGTCATAACCTGGGTTTTGACACTTTTGGAGTTTTGGTCGAACCTCACAGAAACTGCATGTAATCATACATGTACTGCTTGGTCCCGACTCATTACAATCCAACGACCATCCGTCTCCACGATATCACCTTTATTCTTAGGCTGAATCAAGGAAAAGATATAATGAATATGGCTGTATGATATGCAGATCTTCACCTTGATTGATACATCTGTATACATATCCTGCTTGTAGTGACAGCTATTCTTGTGACAAGATCGTTTCCTTAAAGATAACATTTTGGTAATAGTAGATGTACATGTGCACAAATCGGTTAATGTGCAAACACGACATTTCAGTGGTGACTATTATTTTTGTTGATTGCTCTAACTCTTAGATTTTCATCAATAACACATGCGACGGAAGCATATATGCTTTGCATTAGTTGTATAGAAACCTTTTTCGTCACACAACAGTACTGTTGTTTTTAAAAGTGTACAAATACCCCTTTTTATGACACTTTGTTGTACAGTAATTTATTTTTCCTTTGTTTTAGGAAAGAACACTTTTGATGAGGCGGCAAATTATATCAGAAAAAAGTTTGAAGGATTAGCAAGGACCAAGAAAGAGATTTACGTACATTACACAAATGCAACAGACACATCAAATATTAACTTTGTATTTGACGCGTCAATGGCTGTGTTCATACGGCAAAACTTACAAGATGTGGGGATGTTTTGATCTTCGTTCACGATACCAACGTAACATAAAGGGGTGAACAGTTTATTACCATAAGCAGAGACAGAGAGTCAATGAAAGTTGCAAACTATGGGACAAAAAAGGATTTAACTAATTTGAATGTATTTGAATTCTTGAACAAGCATTCCATCAAACACCCGTGCAATTCCCACGTACCGGTAGTCAAGTACAGGTCTAAAGGAAACGGGATGTTTTTTTTTTATAAAATCATATTATATTATATAGCCCACTGTGCCTATAATTGGTCAAAGCTACCACTATGGCTTAAGCCTAGATTACATTTGCCCCGGGCGCAGTACAATAAAATCGTCTTCGATTTTACGTACGATATTTTTGACATCGTGAGTAGCAATGTCGTGTTCCTTTACACGGTGGGTGCCGTGACATTTCTTCGACGTGACCTTGAGGTCACGGGGGAAATCGGCTTTTCGGCTGAAAAGTGGTCGTACGGAGCTCTTTTAGAAAGTTACCGCACGCCTTCAGTGCGCTTTTTTTGCAGATTGACGCTTTGACGGTGCAGTGCCCTACGATTTTCAACCCATGAGGTAAGAAGAAGGAAAAGCACAAATCAAATACATGCAAAATGTCCACACGCAAGTTAAAACATTTGTACTATCGTTATGCCTTCCAAAAATGGTTGAAAAGAACAACAATAATCACGGTCGCCGCAAGACCACTGAACAAAGCCAGAACCGGACCTGCGTTGCTCTATACGATAATACTTCGGTCTACGGGCTTACGATGTTAAAATTTTGTCAAAAGTTATGTTTGTCAAATTCATAGAGGCTTTGGAGGCGAATCCGTGCGATTTTGTGCGATTTCGCACTACCACTGCCTGCCTCCACACAGACTCCACACGCCGCACGATATGGGATTCAAGAGCAGTTTACGAGCACCGCATGGCAAATGTTATCTGGGCATTACTCTAAGGGCGTATTTCCAGACATTTAGATCGATCTATCCCCGTGGGGAGTTTCACTAGATTACTGTCAGATAATCCGGCGTATATGTCCGTCCTGCCTACTACAAGCTGTAAGGGGGTAATTAACTTTCGTGCCCGCTCGGCTGACAGCTATTTAGCGTGAACTCCCAGGGAGTTGGGTCGATCTAGTTTGGATCGATCTAATCTCTGGGAATGGGGTCTAAGTCCAATGGAATTGAATATGTTACCAACTGAAATCCGCTCAATTGAATCAACTGATAATTATAAAAGGATTTAAAAACATGTCTTTTCACAAAAAAATTTAATTGTTCATCTTTAGTTGTAATTGGTTTTATATGAAAAATTAGGCTGATGTAATGTAAAATGTTAATCTTTGTTATTCTTTTAAATTTTTTATGTCTTGGTAATTATGTTGTAAAGCACTTGTTTTATTTAAAGCCTACCAAACATCTTAAGTGGATTTTAGACTTAAAATAAATACAATATTATTCTTATTATTGTCCCAGATGGGGACTGAGTGCAGCAGGCTTAAGACAATCATATAGTTTAATAAACTGAGGTTCACAAGGAAATGTGTTATTTTATTTGTAAAGATATATTTCTTATCAACGACGGATATAAATTGAGAATGGGTATTAACAGAAAGCCTAAAGTCATTGCAGCTCGATGGGATGAAACTCCAACTGTCACGGCTACAATGAAGACTGATCTTTATGATTTCTGGGCTATTCATCACTTAATTGGGCTCTTTGGGATGAAAAGAGATTCGAAACTCGAGTTCTGTTGCTGGATTGTAGCTGACCGTGCTCATCAATATTGCTAGAATGTGCTGTTAATCCAATTACCAGGGTCCCGTAACTCGAAAGCATCAAGTATTTGCGAATAGCTTTATCACATGGAGGCTACTGTGTATTAAATGAGGCGAGTATGAGCGAGTTATAGAATCGAGACGCTTGCGCTCGGTTGCAATGCGCGATGCTTTCGAGTTACGGGGCCTGATGACCCGTCATACGTATAGACGAGAGTTTACACTGTCAGGTCGTTTTTTTTTAAACCCAACTTTGTTTTTGGCATCGGGACACTCATGGTGTTATACCTGTAACTGCTTGACAATTTGAAAGGTAAGCAGAAAGCAGCGTTAATCAACAATTTCAGAATATTTGCAATTTATTTTAAATAGTCGGCATTGGTTAGGTGATTCATGAACACCTGAAATACTGCCAACATTATCTTTATCGTCACTACTAACAGTAAATCCTTTTCAGGAATCCACTTAGACTGGATCAAGTGTTAGTAATGGACCTTTCCCCAGATAATGACGCGCATATGCATGCACCAAGTTTATTATGTACGTTAAAAGCGATACTGCAACACAAACTTTCATAATTCATTCATTCTTTCTTCTTTTTGCAAAAGATTCAAATTATAACCACTTATGCTGACACTTTTCTAGATAACACATCGCTTGGATACATGGAAAAATATTTGAACCAAGTCATTTCTGAATATTATGCAAAAATAATATCATAACCTACTTGTACAAAATAACTTGCAAGTGTTCACAAGTTCTCTGTCCTCGCGTAGGACGATAAACCAGACTCAATGGAATGTTTGAAACAGCGGTGGGTGTCACATATTTTGTACCGATATACATAGGTTAAAAATGATAAACTAAACTAATGATAAACTAAAGCAATACTGTCAGAGAGATGCATGGATACCACATGACACCTATTGATCGCTTTTGACTCTGTTCACTCAATATCTAATGTTATTTTCACCCTTTTCACTCCTTTCAATTACCAATTTTTTAAGTCTTTTTTTAATTCGTCGCCTCCACAAGGATTCATTATCACACTTCACCATTACATGTCTGTAGACATGTCATTTTTTGTTTTTGTTTCTTTTGCAGTTAATCCAATTTTCACTTTATAAACTTAGTAAATGAAGTCGCATATTGCCAATCAATTAACTCACAGACTTCACGCTGCTAAAAACCCTACACTTATGCTTTTCAGCTCTGAGTGTTATATTGTAACAGTATGTATGTCAACCATTACTTGAATATGGCGTAGAGATAAGGAGGTTAAATTATTTTTAAAAATACTTCAGCCTACAAGTTCTCATTTGCAGGACTCTTATTCTAGAGCGTTACTTCGCTGTAATATGGACGAACAAAGTGTAACACCTTTCTGTTTGGCCTGACGTTTCAACCCTCTACCAGAGCCGCAGAATAACTGAGCGCACGTTTCTCCACGGTGGGGAAATGTGCAATAAATTAGCCAGAGACGTTATCTGTAAATTTCTAGTAAAAAAATCAATCTGTGGCCCTGGTATAGGGTATGACGTTTTCATTATAATCGCCTAAATACTTGCTAACTACTTTAGCCCATCGCCCACGTAAGCCGATTGACGGAAAGCATGTTGAAAAGATCATGAATTTGTAATTAAATAATATAATTGTAAATAATAGGTAAGAAAATATGCTTCAATTAGAAATATGATATATTTGTGTGCAACTTGAAACATATAATTATAAACGATACTGATAAGAACCATTGCGTAGTTAATGAAAAATAATAACCTACCATGAAAGAATCTTATGGACAAAAATGTCTTCAACCTTCATGAAAACAACTGTGTTATATTAATACATTAATTCAGACCACTAAAAAATCCTTGTTTATACTTTCATGTGGGTCAGCACCATTTCTTCTTTTGATTAATATTTATTAATGTCAGTGACCATTCACAAGAGAAACATATTTTGAGAACTAGGTAATACAAATAAAATATCAAACACAATAATAAGATCTACTATCATACTCAAATAAATTAAAGGAGCCTGTTACCAGGGCCCAGCACTATTATAGCTCATACTCTGAAAATAAGATTTCTTTTCAAACTCCTATAAATAAAACTTATCTCGATGTCTCACTACCAAATATCATTTTACAGAAGATGAAATGTAAAGCAGGTAATCAGAACAAATAAGATATTTTCATTTTCTCATATTTTGGTCACTTAAGGTAATCCTTATATTCAAGATGGAATGACTGCAGTTTATCAATGACATATCATGCTGTAGAAAATTGTGCTCAGCTGTCTAAGAGGGCAAGCAAATAAAGTTATTAAAAATAAGTAGACATTAAGATTGCTACATATAATTGATCTTCAAACATTGAAATGGTATTTTCAAGCTAAAATATATATTTCTAACCATGTTTATTTACAAAATAATGTTAACATGCAGTTGTCAGAGAGCATGGTTATGAAAGTTAACAGTTCAGCAGTCTCTCTCCTTATAAATATAAATATTATATAAAAAAAAAAAA